GTTTCAGATATATCTACAAAGTATCATCGTGAAAGGAGTACATGAATCTCAATATAAAAAAGTAGAAAAATATATGTTACAAGGAAAGTAATTAGATTTCAAAGATCCTAGACTAACACTGAAGTTACAATATACATAGTTTTGCCTTCTAAAGTTCTCTCGATTAGAAAAATATCACAATTCTGTCATTCAATATACGTCTCTAATACCGTAACTTTACAGCAAAAAGATAAAACACTCGACTGAAGTATAAAACAATTGCGACCTTTATATATATAAATATTTTCTTCATTTCTGTGACTTTTTAATCCTCTATTTGTATTATAAAAAGAATAAAAAAATTTTTAAAGAAACTTTCGAGCTAAATTACGAACAATATAGAAAAAAATAGAAAGTAATAATTATTAATGCAATCCTATGAACATTAACTATCACATTACACGACGTCATAAGCATATCACAGCTCAAAATTAAAAAATTATCTTTTAAAATGTTAACTTATTAATAATTATATGAATACATCATAAAACAATTAAAGGGTTTCCCACGAGAACTAAATAAATCATGTTTTTTATCTTCGTTATGGCATAAATCATTCTCTACAGTAGTATCACATCATAAACAATTTTGTTTTAGCAAGAAAAATTGAAATATAAAACGAGGAATTTAAGAAACATTTAAAAAATGTTTCACAACAATGTTTTCGTTAAGAGCAATTTATAAAATTTTATAAATAAGAAAAAGGATCATTTTTATCAGGGCTGGGCAAAATATATCATCAAAATATTTAAAATATAAAATATAAAATATTGGCAACCTTATTTGAATTACAAAATACAAAATACATCCAAAATTTGTATTTCAAATTTTTTTTTTAAATACAAAATACAAAATGTTTTCAAATTTTTTTATTTTAAATACAAATACAAAATACTTTTTAATACAGTATACTTTCAAATTTTTTTTGTTTGCCCGGCACATTCTCGACTAGTCACTGTGACATCAACGTTTTTCTCTGTCAAAACCCTTCAATTGAGTATAATATGTAACACTTATTGAACGGACAACAACTCCGTTAAAATGCAAATAACATTTAAAGATTCTTTTTTAAAATATGACAAAAATAATTCAATCATTTTTTAACATACTCAATCGCTTCTTCTTAAAATGTAAGTTGGCTTCGTTATCACGAGTAGTTCTACTTAAAGCGCTACAAATGTGCACAGGGTGACCCAAATTTTTTGATACGTCGAAAAGATTTCTATCATTCAAAATATTTGGGACACCCTACATAATAGTATAATATATTATATTATATATATAATATATAATAGTATATATAATATTATATATAAT